TTAGGTCCGATTTTCTTTTGATAAGAATATCTAAGAATAGGTAGTAAATAGTAAAACGTATGTTCGAGTTTAAATGTCTAAAAAAATCTACTAGGGTCCTGAAAATGAAAATGAAAATTTTATTCGATAGAACTAAAATTCTCGCATGTAATCAATTCTTCTACCAACGAAAAATCTATAAGCAACCCAACAATCTTAACCGCTACTCATGTCTCTACCTGTGGCCCATATGGGAATCAGTCATCAGAGCCGGTGTTTATGCCCCCATTTAGACCCGCCACCGCCCCTCCCTTTAAACAATATATAAGCAGGCACAGAGTAAAATGCGAGCCAGTTTTAGTCAAGCTCTGAAGAAGGAAGCCAACAGGACGATTCGCGAAACGTTAGTTAGTTCGAGTGAAATTTTATAAAAAGTAAACAGCTTTTCATTTCATGTTATTTTTTTTTTGTGGTCCTTTTTTGTATTTCCAATTTGTTTGTCTGTTCTTATGTTGGTTATCTCTTTATCTCTTTTCTTCAATTTCTGGTGAAACTAATTCTGACGGGGCAAGCAGCATCGCAGAAAATAATTACTATTGAAAAATTTGTCAAATAAAATATAAAAAATATATATTAGCCTGCAGTTTTTTTAAGTTATATAAACAAAATAATAGTTATATACGAACGCTCTCGACCAAGACCACTGTTTCTTTTTTCCCAGGATTAGGGCCAACTTTTTCTAAGCCTATCTGTTGTAGACCTCTTTTTTATGCGTCCCTCAATTCCGCTCTTTAAATCTCTCTCTCCCTTTAAACGTGGATTAAGAAATATTTGAGTTCAACGGAGAGCTTAAAAAGAAAAAGAGATATAAAATTAGAGAAGTCTGGAATAGAGATAGAGAGACTTACTCCAATATCCGAGAGAAGTGGGAAAACCAGTAATAAGTAATCCTGTGCTAGAACAAGTAAATGTACACTAAGGAAACCTGTGAATATCAAAAGCGTTTAATGATTCTGCTGCGACTTTTTTTAAGGGAGTAAGTGACATTATCAAATCCAACATTAATATAACAATTTCTTTTTATAAGGAGAAAATAAAAAAACAATATTAAGGTATTTCCAAAAGTACTTAAAATGTTATATTTCGGTTAGTTAAATTGAAAAAATACTGTTGGTTTAATACAAGGTGATTGTGTACTTGGAAAAGCGTTTTTTTACGCTTAGGGAAAATTGCACGTTAATTTAAATATGGACAGATAACACTTGCAAGATGTTATTTAAAACATTTTGGATGAATTTGACTTGTCAAGTTACCACAGGCAATTGTCAAAAGCAATGTTTTTATAAAAAAAAGGTATTTTGCTTTAGTTTTTGTGCATATTTAGCATCATAAAATAAACTTTAGGACAAAGAACGAAAATTCTTTTGTAGATGCGTGTTATTAATAGGCAATTAATTGAAAATCATGTATATTGTATATATGCATATATAAATTTTATTACGTACAAATATTAAACTCGGTGATTTTACATTTTTACTTATATAGAACCAAGTGGTTCTCCCTACATTTTATGAAAATAAATACCAATGCCAAGTTATTGTATATTTTGGTTGGCCTCCTTATTGTCCTTTAGCACGTATAACGTTACGAAATAAAATACGGTCGTCAAAAAGCTAACGCTAAGCGGCCATTTTGCGCGGTGCTATCGTAAGCCGCGAACCGTTTACTATGCAAAATTATTGCTATAATTCAAATTAGCGCCAACGACGCCGGAGGCTGCACTTTTTTACAAACCTTAAAACCTATCTAGCCGTCGCCCGTTCTCCATAAACCGTCCAGGTGTTTTCCGCCGTTACGGGAAACTCATATTTTCACCCCAAAGGGCCGTTTCGCGGCGGTGCACGACAAAAGCTCGGTTAACGAACGCCGCGGGGTAAATAATAGCAATTAAATCTGGGGCCAAAGAATTGCGAGCTTTAAAACTGGATAGATGTTTAATGAACGTATCCTCGTTTATCAGCATAAATTTGAGTTTGTTTGTTGAATAAAGATGGATCGAGCCGCCTCGAGAAGAATATGTTTCGCTGGGTCGCTGTATAAATCACCATTAAAAAGGGTGCCGGACTATTTTCCGGTAATAATAATGGTGCGGCGCACACTGGCCGACAAATAACATATTTAATCACACAAGATACTTTTATCCGCGTAACCGACAACCGTTCGGTTAACCGGTCAACACACACGAACCTTGTTCACTCCAAAAAGAAAAAGAAGAAAAATTGATGACATTTTCAAACCAAATTATTGAAAGGAATTTTTGAATATTCATTTTGGTTTGACATTTTGCCTTGCCACTCCGCGAGGCAGATGATCCATATCAGCGATCGGAACGTAGAAGGGTGCTTCGACTCCCATTTGTAAAATACATAATTATACACCGATCTAGCGTATGGAAAGTATTACTTCACCGGGTCAGTTTAGTTTCCCATGAATCCGAGTCACTTTGAACATTTCCGGGATTTTACCGATTTTCGGAGATATTTCCCACCCCTTGAATTGTTACGTTTGTCAATTCTGACCGTCATGTCAGTGAATGTATCCGTGTCGTTTTTCCAAAATGTACCAAAAAACTAATGGTCGTAGAAAAAGTATAGTATGCAACACGTTCAGTAAACTTTTTAAGTCACTCCGCTGCACTCCGCTCGTGCCAAATAAACTCGTGAGTCAAATGACGTTTTCTGTAATGGTATATTATGCAAAAAGTGCGGTAAACGGCATTTGTCTCACGAGTTTTTAATACATGAGTGAGTTAAAAAGTTTACCGAACGTGTTGCATACTCTACTTCGTTCTACTCTCGTCTGTAAAATACCTAATTACACACCGATCTAGCGTGCGGGAAACGTCATTTTACCACGTCAGTTTCGTTTCCCACGGATCCGGGCCACTTCGGACATTTCCGGGATATTACCGCAGGGATTTTGACGTTTGTCAATTCTGACGGTCCTGACAGTGAATGTATTTGTGTTTTTTTGCGAAAATGTACCCAAAAACTAACGGTCGTCGAAAAAGTATAGTATGAAACACGTTTGGTAAACTTTTTAACTCACTCCTTTATTAAAAACTCGCTCCACTCGTGTCAAATAAACTCGTGAGTCAAATGCCGTTTACCGCACTGGTTACATAATATACTATTTTCTGTGACCGTTAGTTTTTGGGTAAATTTTCGCAAAACAACACGAATGCATTCACTGACATGACCGTCACTGACAAATATCAAAATTCAAAGCGTGGGAAATATCTCGGAAAACATCTGATTCCTCCCAAACCCGTGCGGTAAAATCCCGGAAATGTCCGAAGTGGGTCGGATTCGTGGGAAACGAAACTGACTTGGTAAAGTGACGGTTCTCGCACGCTATATCGATGTGTAACTACAGACGGGAGTAGAAAAATGGCATTTGACTTACGAGTTTACCAAACGTGTTGCATACTATACTTATCCCACGAGCGTCACGAAAAAAATTACAATTTAACAAATTAAAAATAATAACAGATCCTCAAATTATTAAATTTTGTACCATTCAAACATAATATTTATTTATCGTTACTTACGCTTCTGATATTGTCGTCTCTTTTTAACTGAGTACGTTTGACAGAGAGAGATGTATTATTGAATATGTCATATAAACAACGGAATACGTAATTGATCATCAAGTAGTTTATTTAAAGAAAAATACTGTAATTGTAAGAAAAATCATCCAAGGAACTTTCAAGAGGAAAGAAAAAGCAGGTCCTAACCTTCAATTTTGTTTTATTTGTACTGATGAGACATGGATATTTGAAAATCGTACGATTGGTCTTGCCGAGATATTAATATAACAACTGTAAAAGCTACTAAAGTTCATGTACGGTATGTAAAAAGTCTGTGGGAAACTTTAATTATAAATGCCACTTTACTCACCGACTAGTTCATTAGATTTTAATTGTAGCTGATAGCACGTAGTATTTAAATTGTCTGATATATTGCATAACATTTTTCTGGGTATTAGTTTTTTTGTACATTTTTGCACAACAACAAGAATACATTCGCTTACATGACCATCACAATCGTAAAAACTTCAAAATTCAAACCCTGTGGTAAAATCTCCGAAAACATCCGATTGCTCCCAATCTCGTGCGGTAAAATTCCGGAAATGTCCGAAGTGGCCCGGATTCGTGATTGACATGGAAAAGTGACGCTTCCCGCACGCTAGATCGGTGTGTAATTAGGCGTTTTACAGAAGGGAGTAGAAAAATCTTTTGGAGCAAGTCTCGATGAAAAAATTTTCCTAAATTTGGCCAGCCTGTACATAAAGTTTAAGATGCGTCAACCGACTCACATATGCAATATGCGATAAGCCTGGTGATCTTGCGTGGCGCGCTTAACTCTACTTGTTGGAGGAAGTTTTTAGTAACTGTTAAAGTATGTCGTTTGGAATTGTGAAATTTAATCTTGCAGTTGCAACTGATTGTAAATCAACTAGAGGTGTACTGGGATCAACTGTTATTGTACCCCAAAACATAACGAATCTGGTAAACGCAGTCTTACGATTTTATTACTGATTTCAGCGAGTCCGTTTTTCTTCTATATCTATTTTTTATTGACAACAGTAACTGACGATAGCCCATAAGCTCTAGTTGACCACTTAATTGACTTTTTACAGGAGACATTGCGGAACGATATTTTCATTACCCCAAAGGCAAAAAACTAAATAGCTCAAAATAATTTCTTAAAAATTAATAATGAAGCCCGTTAATTTTTTTGCGAAATTTAAAAAAGTTAGTGGTTACTATACTTCAGGCAGGTGAACAGTTTGTACGCATGCGTTGGTATGTAGAATATCATCTATTATCCGAATCTGTAATAAAATGATAGCATATTCTATTTGAAATTCTAGGACTAGCAAAATTTTTGGTCCTGTTAATCTTCGATTGGTAAGGCGTAGTAATTTCCATCTCAAATTATAATCAAAAAGTGACTTACTTGTGCGATTTGATCGAATCTGCCAAACAGCTCGTTCAACGTTTTTACCAGATCGGATGCGGACAGCTGTTCGGACAAGGGGGTAAAATTAACAATATCCGCGTAAAGGATGGACACGTTGTTGTGCCTCTGGACGTACATCTCATGGAAAGTCTGCGCCTTGTGTTCCTGGCATGCGTCCGCCATTTTCAGCATTATGCTTCTCTTTACCTGGAAACAAAGGTCTCGCTGTAATGATAGTTTCGAGAACAAGAAAAGAATTATATGAAAAAGATATTTCAAAGGCGTTGCACGGAGTATTGTATCCACAATACAATGATTTCACAGACTCCATAATCATGGTTATAGGACGTCATCACCTAAATCTATTTTCACGTCCGCAGGAATTATGATATTGATATTGATTTTTTCTTTCACACTTTTTGAGTAACTGGTTTTGTAGTAACTGATATGCTCGAAAATGAATTACATTATTAAAAATTAAAATTATATATCTCGGCCTTCTTTTGGCTAACATTTAATAATTTCAATGCAAACAGTACTATTTACAAATCTTCAGGATTTCTTAAAGAAACATCGAAAACAGTTATAGGTTCTCCATTAGCACCAATCATGGCGAAAATGTTTATGAAATCCTTTGAGAGGACACCTTCCATCCAAAAACGCTACGCTGATGATAACTTTTCTATTTGGCATAGTCGTCACCAATCCCTAGGGTTTCTTAGCCATTTAAACTCTATACACCCAAACATACACTTTAGCATTGAATTGAAAACTAATAATAATCGATTATTATTAGACATTCTTATCAATAGAAAACCAGACCTAACATTGGGTCATTCTTTTTATAGAAAATATACCTTAATGCATTTTCACGTCACCATTCGGTTATCAGCTTTTTTGTTGCTTACAGAGCAGTAAAACTATCAACAACCGAGTCACTGGACCCAGAATTAAAATGTTTTACATCTGCTCTTCTCTTTCTAATTCCGTCACAAAATACACTTTACCACAAGCTTTCAAAGACAGTGAGTCCAAAAGCAATCCAACACTGAACTGACATTTAACATGTCACTGACCACATATCAAAAGTTCAAAAGAAATATAACGTTAAAACCAGATTTATCTATTGTCCAAAAATCTCTTCATTCATCTTCGATCCGTCAAAGACAAAATTCCGTTTGAGAGGCCAGCAATTTATAGCATTCCACGCATATACTGCAAACAATACATTGGAGAGACGGTACGAAAAATCTCAACTAGGCTCAAAGGATATGATATAGCCTTAAGACTACGACAAACAAACTCATCAGCACTCGCCGAACACAATCACGAAATTCAATTCAATAAAGCTAAAATTCCTGCATGTAATCAATTCTTCTACCAACGAAAAATCCGAGAATCTACAGAAATATATAAGCAACCAAACCATCTTAGCCATGACTTAGGTTCTTACCTTTCACCAATATGAGAATTAGTCATTCGAGACAACGTTTATGCCCCCTCAAACAATATACAAGCAGGTACAGAGTACAATGCTAGCAAGTTCCAGCTAAGCTCTGAAGAAACCAACAAGATGATTGACGAAACATCAGCAAGTTTGGTTTAACAACAACCGACGCAGAAGGAATCCAGAAAATTTGTAAATAGTATTACAGTACTCTGCGGGAGTCTTTTGAAAAGAAAAAAGATTCAAACCTTAACAATTAATTAAAAGTAATACATTACACTAAATCAAATTTGTAGTTTTAATATCAACAAACCTGCCATAAGCAATATGTAATGCAACCAACAGATATTCTTTTTTCTTTCGTTTGTTAACTCCTAAAAATACTACAAACCATGCTATCTAAGGACAACTTGCAGTTAGAATAGAATAATCATGTCTTTGTCAATGAATACAGGATTAAAGGTCTACAGGATTTAAACCACCACCACCCGTTGTTTGTTTTTAAAATTGGTTCAAACAAATTTTTGAGTATCTCTAATGATGAAATCTACTGTTTTCTAATTAGGATTACCTGAATCTGATTTGGCATGCTTATGTATATTATTATGACAATAGTGAAGAGTTTTTCCTCACTAGATCTGAAATGAACCGAAGTGAAAATGTTTGCCACTAGAAAAATGCGATGTTTACAGGATGTAAAGTTGCTGTTTGACCAAGTCGCCATGAAGAAATAGAGAAATCTCGAAAAGCTTGTCCATTGATCGATCTTGATAACGAATGGTAAACTCTTTAATAGCACCAAGAGAAGAAAACAGTTCCTTAGAAGAAGAAAAAATATATAAGGTTTAGTAATCTGTAATAAAAGTTATATTAGGAATATCATTGTATTATTACAGAGAGTGCAAGCATATTTTGACATCCCAGCACATGTTTTATGCGTTATATCAAAAATATGTTAGATGCAACAGTTGTAGAGGTTATATTTTATTTACTTAATTTATTAGAACAATTCTGGAAGTTCAGAATAGACCATATAAATTTGGTAATTACAATTATGGGTATAAACCACAATAGATACTTTAAGTGCCTCTCACTACTTGGACATGCTTACCATATATGTGTCTATAATCTTTATTATCCACATAACAAAACTTATCGTCAAAATAAAATTTCCATTCCATTTCCACCATGGATATATAAAATAAATAAATTAATACTTGATCACTGGAAAAATTAAAACTAAAGTACTATATCGCTTTTGCTTATCATAACCTGTTTGATATTAATATCAAGCACATAACATGAATGAAAGCAATTAGAATTCGGACTTAAATCTAATAAGGGCATGGGGCTTTTCGGTAAATTTGTGTGGTTCCCTGCAATTACACGACGTTCAAAGAGCACAAGCACAGTCCATAGAGTGTGGCCAAAACGACCGCTTTCTGGAAAAGACGGGGCCCTTTGATATGGGGTTAGTATTCGGAAGCAGATTAATTTTGCCCATCCGGCACAGAGGCGATGCCTTGCGGCCAGAAAACGGATTTATCTTTATATTTACCGCGTTCATTGGAAAGTCATTTGAATGTTGATGATCGTGGCGTACATTTAGATGGGTTGACCGAAAAGGCATTTTGATTAGTACATATTGGTAGAAATAGATTAGTTATTCGGCTCCGTACATAATGTCTGTCAATGCCAGTAACAAATAAAACTATTGAATTAACAGAATTGCAGCTCAAGCCTCTAGTAACTGATCTTAATTACTCTTTCCTTCTTTTGATAAAATTAAAATATAGGTAACACCAGAAACGCTGTAAATCTGCATTTGCCAAACATTAATTTAATTTAAAAGGCGGGTGAAATGTTTCTCCTAAAATTGCATTATCAGACCAATACATACCACACATATGGACAACTATGTCAGAATCGTATCAGTATCAGAAAAATCATGTGAATTTTTCAATTTCAAATGAAAATGGTGACGTGTTGTCTAGTGGGAAGGCTTTTTCAAGAATCGCACGAAAGCAACTTTTCGAAATCGAATCGAAACACTTTATACTGACAAGCTAAACTGCTTAGAACTAGCAATCTAAGATTTCTCCTCTAAAAAGGCTTCACATCCGTGGAGATTAGTTTTACTTTTGGCATACTTATATTTCTATAAAAATTATGAAGCTTAATGAAACTCCAAATTTACGTTCTTCTGTCAAAAGGAAGAGTTACTCTGTTTTTTAAACAGGCTCAGTGTTGTACCATAATCAAATTATTTTTTTTAGCTATCTCGTGATAAAACATCATCGTCCATTTATTTCGTCAACATGGAAACCAATTCAAAGCTTACAATAAATTGAAACACTCCCGACAGTAATAAAAAGATGCCGGCAAAAGGTTTCGCACAATCTCACGCAATTTTCATGTAATATTAGGTCGAAAAATGTTTTTTTTTTATGTTTTAAAAACAAAGCTTTTACTGCCCGCTTTTTGTTATTTTCGGGACTTTTTCAATTTAGTGTGAATTGATTTCTTATAGTAACGAGATAAATATGTATATTTTGACATTTGTAAACACGCCGCCTGGCAAAATTAGTAGAAAATGATAGTACATCCAATAAAATTATTCAAGCAATGTTCGATACAAACAAAAAAACTAAATTTTTGAAAAATGACACCCGAAAAAGAAAGTGATGAACATTTGTGAGGTTGTTTTATTGGCATATTTATCAGAAAAATATCGATATAAGAAAATACTTAATAAATTAAGAGCGTTCATGAAGAAAAAATCAATGGAATATAAAGAAGAAATTTATATTATATATATATATATATATATATATATATATATATATATATATATATATATATATATATATATATATATATATATATATATATATTTATAGTTATATTAATTGATTACATAATTAACAAACAAACAATCCTCTTGATTGACATTCCAAACACCTAGGCAAGCAATCCATGCATTCATAATTAAAGAAAAAGAACCGTATCAGAGACTCATTATAGTTTAATTGGTTGAAAAATCTTACAATGCCAAATAATTTTGGAAAAGTTTGCTAAGTTGCTAAGCGGAGAAAATGCAAAATGCGTTCTTTGCATTTTTTGTCTGTTTTGTATAAAGTAATTATCAAAGCACCTTCCCGTGTTCAATTTTATAAGGAAAATTGTCCAAATCAACAATAACTCGTTGGGGAGCTCGGTGAGCAGCTGCTGCGTTTTATGCAGCGAAGATCTAGACGAGCCATCTTCTGCCGCTCTAACAAATGCAAGAACTTATTTTTAAACCTAACAGTGATAGAAAATCTAATATTTATAAAAACAAACTACTCTCTTGTACCTACGGCACTCACCAAATTGGAGGCTACATCTATTTCTTTGAAAGATTCAGACGCAGCTGCGGTTATAAAAAAATTTGGTCCGTAATTGAAAATAACGCACGAGTTCAAAATCCTAAAGAATATTTCAAAAGCTGTCATAGGCAATTTCACTAATTTAACACACTTAATTCCAAAACTAAAATGCTGTCCGATAACTTGTGTTGAGCGAAGTTTTTCTATTTTTAAACATTTGTTTAAAAATTGGAAATTTGGAACTTTTTGAAAAACACTTAATTATCCATTGTTTTTACAACGGCAAAGATTAGTTTTACGAATTTTATATTGTGCATGTTGCTATCATCTGAATGGATCAATGGTATTGTTAAATTATAATATATACATTTTTTGTATGATAAATAATATAT